CAATAATTTGTTGTAAAACTTTTCAAACACTCATTTACTGAACAATGAAATCGTTTTTTCTGTAAATGAATAAATTTATGTATATTATAATGACTTTTAATTGTAAATGTTTTATAACAATAATCGACATCACATTTATAATGTATTTGATTTAAATGTTTAGCTTTTTTATGATAAATCAATTGTGACTGAGTTTTCAATAATTTATTACAATTATAACATTTAATAGGTTTTTTAGATGAATGAATCAATTGATGTCTATGTAATTGTTTTTTAATGTTTGTTTTATATCGACATTTAGGCCAAAAACACTTGAATCGCGTGTTATTGTTGTTATCCACACGTGTGTTGATGTTGTTGTTGTTGTCATAACAGTCACTATAATCAGTGATTTTCATAGAAATGCAATCATTTGTTGTTTGGATATTCATTGCATTCAAGCCATCAATTGTTTCGCACAAAACAACACTATTTTCTGATAAACTATTTGTTTTAATATCAATAATATTATTGTGTAATGATTTCAATTTATTAAATTTATTTAACAAATATTTAATATTAGATATTTTATTATTAATTAACTCCATATATATTTATTTTTTGTAATAATATTAATAATTAATTATATAATAATTAAAATAACCGAAATGTTAATAAACATTTAATATCTAATAAAATACAGAAAATTAAACTTTTTTGATAGTTTTTTTTATTTTGAGGATAATTATATAATGTATGTATCAATAGCTATATATACTGTATCTATCTGTTTATCTGTTAATTTTTAGTATAAACTAAATATATATATATATATATATAATTGATATCATTGATCAAAATATATGACTGATAACTAAAAATAAAAAACATTTTCAGTTTCAATTTATATTATATGTAAATATTTATATAAAATTTATTTATAAAAAAAACATATATTACAAAACAGTATAATACAGTATATTAAATTAATATAATATTTAATCAGTAAATATATATATATATATATATATATATATATATATATATATATATATATATATATATATATTTGTTGATATTATATCCTGATAACATTAATAATAATATTAAACATTAAATAATTTTTTTTGTTAATTTAATTATTTATAAGTAAATATTTTTATTTTATTTTTTAATATTATTTGATATTATTAACAATACTGTACTGTAAAGTATATCTAAAGCTATAAATTTACATTAATATACATGTATATAATTTAAATATACAATAGTTTTTAATAACAAATAAATTTATATATAAATAATAATTTATAATTTTTAAAATAATATTTTCAATTTTTTTTATAAAAAGTTAAAACTTAATTTGTTTGTTATTATTACTATTTTCTAATGATCTTAATTGACTTAAATTATTTATCATATTTATAATATTAGCTGTTTATTTATTTATTAATTAATTATCTAAAAAATAAATGACTAAAATATATATATTTTTTTATTGTTGTAAACTAATATATATATATATATTAAAAGACATGGATTTATAAAAAATAGAGTTTAAAATAATATTTTATTAGCAAATAAATTACATTTACATAAATTTTAAGTAATATAACATTTAGTTACATTGAAGTTTATGATAATTAAAACTATATTTAGTCACATTAGCCAAAAACACGTGAATCGCGTGTTATTGTTAGCCTACACGCGTGTTGTTGTTATTATTATCATAACAATCACTATAATCAGTGATTTTCACAGAAATGTAATTATTTGTAATGATATTTTCAATTCATCAACGGTTTCCAACAATTTATAGCAATTGTTAGTAATTTGTTTAAAATTTAATGATAATTTTTTCAATTTTTATTTAATTTTCATAATTTTTGATTAAAATCAGTATTTAATATCAACTCCATTACTGTTTCATTAAACAAAAACAAAAATTATTAAAATATAAAAAACACGTGTTTTGTTTTGATCATACATTTGAAATCACATGAAACCAGAAATAGGATATCATTTTATATATGATTTTTGTGTTAAACCTTTTTTAAAACCTGTTTTGTTATTATATTATTATTATTATTATTATTAAAATTATTTATTAATACTTTATTTTAAGGGTATCTATAAATTAAATATACAATAATTTTACAATTGACACTTTATCATTGAAATGTATAAACAATTTTATTATTATTTTTAAATAAATAATTAATTAATTTGATAAATGTTTTTAATTAAGTAATATTAAATAATTTAGAAAATATTTAGAAAAATGTTTGTTTTTTTTGAGTTAATTATGCTATAATTTATAAGATTTTTAAGCAAAAAAAAATCATGAATTTTTATGTTATAAAAGCGATTTTTGTACAGAAAAAGTGCATTTTATTTACAAAATAATTATAAATAGTTAAATAAATAATTAAATATAAGATTATTGTATTATTTTCTTTATATTTTATATATATTTTATTGTTTTAAATTATATTTTTCTCATTATAATAATAGTAAATTAAATTAAATATAATAAAAAAAATATTTCTATGTTTTAGTATTATATTATGTATTTAATTATTAATGCTTTTGTAGAAACATATTTCTACATAAAATTAATTACTTAAATGTAATTTTATTATTTGAAAATTTATTAGTCTATTTTTTACAATTTTTTTAAAAATTTTTTTATTGAAATATTCTATAATGAAAACTTGATTTTTTTTAAATATTATTATTTTGTAATATTTCTATAAAAATAATAATTTTAAGTATAAAAAATATATTGTATATACAGTACAGTACATAATAATTGTCATATCATTAGCTGTTTTAGTATTATATTATGTATAATAATTATTAATGCTTTTATTATTAGAAAATTTATTAGTTTATGTTTTTAATAAAATTTTTTAAATTTTTTTTTATTGAAATATTCTATAATAAAAACTTGATTTAAAAAAATAATATTATTATTTTGTAATATTTCTATAAAAATAATAATTTTAAGTATAAAAAATATATTGTATATACAGTCATATAATATTAATTGTCATATCATTAGCTGATACAGCAATTATTTTTCCAACAAATAAAACACTAAAAAATTCAATATTAAAGTAATAAACATAACTTAGTATATAAACTATGTGTAAGTTATACAGTGTAACTATACCTTTAAAAAAAAAAATTGAAACCAAGGGTGCATTAGTGGGGAGTAAGGGTGGGTTGGGTGGGAGCGGGTTGGGTAGGAATAAACTGGAAACATAAACTATAATTTAAACTTAGCTAATTAATAATAATAATAATAATAATAATATGCACAATATGTCTGTATTGATACAATTATTTTTTTTTATTGATTATATACGATATATATGGGACAACAATAATAAGTCTACTACTAATAAGGTTATGTGGTCTACAAATTTTTTGCACAATTTTATTAACAAAAATATTATTAGTCTACCTCCCGGTCCTTATTTTTTTCCCCATTAATACCATTGATAAATAAAAAACTAACTAACAGCGTATCATACAGTATAAATAAATATATATATATATATAATATTATATAATAATATAATATATATATAATACATGACCAATTTGGCCATACAGTGCTAAAAGAATTAATATAAGTAAAGTAAACCATTTTTTTTAATAATAAATATAGATTTTAATTATTATTATTAATTTTTTCTATTATTGAATTTTATTTTATTTTTTTAATTAAAATTATTTTATTATTTTAACTTTGATAAACAACGCAAATAATAATAATAATGCATTTTCTAGTAATTATATTTTTACTAAATATTTTATGGTAGTTTTTAAAAATAAAAAAAAACATAATATATAATAGTTTTAAAATTTCTATAACATATAAAGTACATTTTATTTTACTGGATTATACAAAGTCATAATTAAATACTATGTATTTTTCCTATTTTATATATATAATATATGTATAATGTTAATAACATGTTTTTTTTATAAATTTTTTTTATTAATCTACGTTTTTTGAATTTTTTTACTAACTTTTTTACAAATATCATATCATGATAAGTTGGTTTTTTTTTAAAAAAAAATAATACTATGTATTTTTCCTATTTTATATATATATATAATATATGTATAATGTTAATAACATGTTTTTTTATATATTTTATTTATTAATCTACGTTTTTTGAATTTTTTTACTAACTTTTTTACAAATATCATATCATGATAAATTGGTTTTTTAAAAAAAAAAATAATACTATGTATATAATATATGTATAATGTTAATAACATGTTTTTTTTGTCTTGCAATGCCATTGTTTAAAAAATACAAATAAATTTCTATTGAAATTTATACAAAAAAAAAAAGAAAATTTCTAGAAACTTTCTATTTGATCATCTATTTGCCTCAAATACATTGAAACTATGGGTGCATATTTTTTTGGGGGGAGGGGTGGGGGAGCGAGTGTAAGAGACTTTAAGCCGGTTACTTTAGAAAAAATTTTTATTAATGACTATTATTTTTTAATAAATTTAATATCTAATAAACAATATATAAGTATTTAAAGTATTTATAAAATTTTAATAATAATCAAGTATTATTAAAAACAACTTTCATAATAATAATAAAAAAAAAATTTATCAAAAAAATTATTTTAAACTTAATACAGTGTTAATAATAATATACACAATAAATATGTCTGTATTGAGACAATTATTTTTATTGATTTTTATATCAGATATATGGACAACAATTATAAGTCTACTAATTGGTTATTTGGTCTACTATTTGGCAAAATTTTATTACCAATATTATAGTCTACCTTCCGGTCCATTTCCATTACCATTGATCGGCAATTTATTAGGTTTTAGTAAAAATAATATTTTTCACTTATTATTATTTTAATCTAAATTTAAAAAAAAAAATTTATTTGATCTATTTGTCAATTTTTTGTTGCTGTTTTGTTTAAAAACAAAAATTGTTAGATTTTAAAACTAAACATCATTGGGATTATACTATGAGAAAATTGGCCAAAAAATATGGTCCAATATTTACCGTATATTTGGGAAACAGTCCGCAAATAGTGATCACCGATCCGGTCATAGCTAGAGATGTATTCAATAAATCAGATTTTGCGGGAAGGACTCAATCATATTTAGGTATTAATAATAATTACTACTAATTACTACTAATTAATATTAATTACTACTAATTACTACTAATTACTACTAATTACTACTAATTACTACTAATTAATATTAATTAATATTAATTACTACTAATTACTACTAATTACTACTAATTAATATTAATTACTACTAATTAATTAATAATAATTAATTAATAATAAATATTTAAATTTAGTTAGTATAATAGGTGATGGTGTCATAATGGCTGATTGCGGACCCAATTGGCAAACGCGTAGACTTGTTGCGCACGCGGCAGTTAAGTACGTGTTTATTAATTTTTTCGTATAGTTTTTTAAATTTCTCTTAAATAACATAACTTTTATAAAACATATATTATTTTTAAAAAATAAATTATCAGAAAATATTCAAACAATGAACGATTGGTTAACGTAGTCGTCGATTGTGTCGATAAAACAGTGGAAACAATGTTGAAAACTATTGGTCCAAACAAACCCATTGAACCATCAAATTATATATATCTAACATTTTTAAATATTATGGCTAATAGTGCTTTCAATGAAAAGTATGAAAAATATTTTTATTAACTTAATAATTAGTTGTTTTATCAATTTAAAAAAAAATATGTTAGTTATAATATAGATAATCCAGAATTTAAAAAATTCAAATACGTTTTGAATGATATGTTAACTGAATCGGGAATTCAATTATTTTTCTGGGAATATCCAAAACTAATTCAATGGATTTACTATAAAATGTTTCGTAACTTAACTAAACATTTCGATGAAATTCATGAACTAATGATTAAAAAACTAAAAAATCATTATAAAGATTACGATCCGAGTATTGAACGAGATTTTTGCGATACACTGATTGCGGCTAAAAATAATGCACTGCTCCGGGAGGTGGGAGGGAAAGGTAGCAAACAATCGTTGGCTAAGTATCTAACGGATGATAAGCTCGGTTTGGCTGTGTTTGACATATTTTTTGCGGGAATCGATACCACATATAATACATTTCAATGGCTACTATTGTTTTTAGCCAATGATTTAAATGTGCAAAAAAAATTACGTAAAGAAATTTCCGATAAAATCGGTGACCGATTGCCAACACTTGACGATAGACATCGATGTCATTATGTAATGGCATTCATATCGGAAACATTAAGATTCAGAAATATTGGTCCAATAGGTTTGGCTCATAAGGCTATAGTCGATAGTAAAATAGGTTATTATAAATTTTAAAAATTAACAAATTTTTTTAATATAAAATATATTTTAGGTGATTATACGATACCGAAAAATATGTCAGTATTTGTTTATCAGGGATTTGTATTGAGAAACGATAGCAACAAGTATTGGACAAATCCTAATGACTTTATACCCGAGCGCTTCCTCGACAGTGACAACCATTATATGATAACCCGTTCACAACAAACAGCTTTCATACCTTTCGGTGTCGGACGTCGTGTATGTTTAGGCGAAAAGTTGGCCATCGCTGACCTGTTTCTGGTTTTGATCCGATTTCTACAGTCGACACAAAACTATGACATTGTTTTGGACAGTCATCCGGGTTTTGATGCCGATCCTTGTAATAGTGATTCAATTACACCCAATAGTTATACAATTATGTTTAAATCTAAATCATAATTCATTGTATAATTACTATACAATTTATAATATAAATAATTTTGTTTAAATAGAAATTTTTTTATATTATTATAATTATTATTATTAAAGATTTTTTTTTGTTAAACTAATTGATAGATATTTGAAATCACATGAAACAAGTAAATGGTTATCACTTTATTTATGATTTTAGTTTTAAACCCTTTCAAAACCTGTTTTGTTATTATTATTATTAAAATAATTTATTAATACCTGTATGTTGTTGTAAAAGTAATGCACTAGCCCAACCACTCAAATAATATGTAATGCTTTGACCGAACAATTTTTTTTAAAAAATCAAAAAAAAAATTAAAAAAAAATTTTAAAAAATTAAAAAAAAATTAAAAAAAATTTAAAAAAAAAATAAAAAAAAATATATTTTTTTTAAAATTTTTTTTTCTAAAAAATCAAAAAAATTAAGTTTATAAAAAAGTAGTTGAAAGTTAAAAAAAGTGATGTTTAAAAAAGTTAGCCTTTAGTATTAAATTTATATACCACTTTTAAGCTATCATTTATTATGATCCACTATTGTATAGTGGTGATGGTCTTGGAGTTATTTTCTACTTCTAGTAGGTAGGTAGTAGCTTCGAGTCCCCCCAGAGAAAGTAGAGAAAATACTTTGTTAGTTTTCAAAAACTCGTACTGAAGAGTATAAACGGTCAATACCAACTACTCACGTCACAGAGTATAACGTGATACTCGTATCAGAGAGTATAAACTGCTGAATACAAAGCCGAAGACAGTGGGAAAAGCAATATGCTTTTGCTAAAATTAATTAAAAAAGGTTATTAACTTTATTTAATCTATAGTTTTCTATTAAAATAATAAATTATATTAAAAATAATTAAACAAATATAAAAACATTGCATATTTGTTGTAAACTACAATATTTAAAAAATACAAGATAAAAGAAGGTTTATTTAAAATAAATAATTGTATGCAATAATTGTTGTTTACAAAATATAAAATAAAATATATTTAACATTGAACACTTAACAAAATCTTTAATTTAATAAAAAATCTAATTATTGTGTTTACTATAAAACAAGTTTAATATATATTTGAAGGTTTAAAAACATATAATAGTAATAAATGTAAATTTTATAATAATTGTTATTTATTAATACATTTAAAAAAACCAGTTTATAACATTGACAAGTGCATTCTAAACAAATAGTAAACAAGTTGTTAACAAAAACATATAGTAAACATATTTATTAATATCCAGTAATAACACTTTAAATTCAAGGTGACATGAAAATAAAAGTATATAAAGATGAGCTTTAAAGTAAAACATTAAAAGTTGAATGAAAAGTTATAAATTGTTAGCTCTTCTAATAGTTAAAACTACTAACGACACCTAACGTTAATAATGGACATTAACGCATTATCCGACATTTTTAATTTAACTTCATTGAGCAGTTCATCCAATAATAACGTTGATGAACAAATTCGTGTACGTGAAAATGTCCTCAACTTTGAAAAAGCAATTGAAGAACAACGTGGATGGGACGGTCTTCGCGAACAAAAGGATTATATAAAGAGTGCAGCCTTATTACACGCTCTTAACAACAACAAAGTTTTATGTCCAAAATGCAGGACTGAGAATTTGAAGTCCTCATCTAATGGACTTATTATTTGTGGCTTCTGTGGTGTGTATTTTCATACCTACCTTACTATTGGGCATATTATTAGTAAAATGCAGGCATTGATAAATTATCATATGTTGACGCCTTGCGCCGACCCACTTGTGCAATTTGATATGTTTATGGGAAACTTGTGGATTAATTGCGACTGTGGCTTTCATCATTCTCTTCTGTAATGGCCTGCAATTTAATTATATAATATATATTTTTACTTTTGTATTATTATATTTGAATTATATAAATAAAATTTTTTTAATTTCAATTGTTTTTAATTTATTTATTTTATACTAATATAACATTTTTTACTTGTTTGTTATAAATGATTATTACATTATATCACAACAAATAATTTTGTTAACAAACTTTTATTAATTTCATATATTTAATAATAAATTTTAAAAAATAAATAACATTGTTTACACACTTATAGCAATCAATAATTACATCATATTACCAATAATTCATTACATTTATTTTAATCATAAATTAAAAAATATAATTTTTTTTACAATAATGTTAGTATATTTAATAAAATTATAATTATTCAATATAACCTTGTTTATAGAATTAAAATTATTAGTAATTACAACATAAATATAATTAATGTAGTGCAATTTAAACAAAAAAACTGTCATCTATAACTTTGTTTACAATAATGTTAGTATATTTAATACAATTATACATATGCAATATAACCTTGTTTACAGAATTAAAATTATTAGTAATTACAACATTAAATATAATTAATGTTAGTACAATTTTTAAAAAAATTTCATCTATAACCTTGTTTACAATATTGTTAGTATATTTAATACAATTATAAATATGCAATATAACCTTGTTTACAAAATTAAAATTATTATTAATTACAACATTAAATATAATTAATGTTAGTGCAATTTAAACAAAAAAACTGACATCTATAACCTTGTTTACATTAATGTTAGTATATTTAATGCAATTATAAATATGCAATATAACCTTGTTTATAGAATTAAAATTATTAGTTTTTTCAACATTAAATATAATTAATGTTAGTGCAATTTAAAAAATAAATGTTATCTATAACCTTGTTTACATTAATGTTAGTATATTTAATACAATTATAAATGTGCAATATAACCTTGTTTACAGAATTAAAATTATTAGTAATTACAACATTAAATATAATTAATGTTAGTGCAATTTAAACAAAAAAAATGTCATCAATAACCTTGTTTACATTAATGCTAGTGTATTTAAAAGTAATTTAAATATACAATATAACCTTGTTTTACACATTTGCATAATTTTAAGAACTATTTTAATGTAATGACAAGTTAACCTTGTTTATTTAATTATAATTGTTATTTAATTTTTAACTGTAAATATAATAACAGATATTGCATTTAAAACAAAAATAACTAATAAATGACATTTGTTATCTTGTTTACTCATAATATATATTTGTATTTTAACTAATATAAATTAAAAAAATGTAAAACCTTGTAAAACCAATAACAAATATTTATTATATCCTTGAAATTTAGTATAAAAATAAATGCAGTTTCATTTGTAGTTATCATTCAATTTTCTGAGTTGAATGATATAAGTTATAATCAAAGTTTTACTCAAAGTTTTACTCAAAGTTTTACTCAAAGTTTTACTCAAAGTTATTGAAAATTCATACAATGGCTAATGAAAAAAGATCTTTAAATTTATTGGAGTCTATTGGATTGGATGAGTCCTCGACAGATTCTGATGTTGAAGAGGTCCCAAAAGCTGGTCCATCAAACGTAATGGAACCAATTGCTGACACCTCTGATGATGAGTCAAAGAAGCGCAAAGGAAAAGGAAAATCAGGTCCGTCATCGAAACGATTAAAAACAATTAAAGGTATAAAATATGCAATGTATGAAAAAAGTACTCCATCTGGAAGCGATAATAGTGAGATTAAAGAAAAAGTCTTTAGAAGAGGTAATTTTACATAATAATCATAATTTATTTATTTTACTAATAATTTTTTACTTTTCATATATAGATTATGATGGTATCTCTACTAAAGAAAATGTTGTCATTTTTTTTAAATTTTATAAAACTGACGTTCCATCAAATTATCGCTTCGGAATAGATATGAAACAAATGTCATTTATGTTGAGATCTCTAATCACTATTGCGTTAACAAATAAACTACCAATAGATGATGTTATTACTTCAATTAAAAAAATTCAACCAAAAATTAAAAAAAAGTAGTATCGGCTAAGTAAATAATTACTTAGCTATTGAACTACAAATTAAAATTTTATAAACAATTTTTTATAAATTATTATAAATTGTTTATCAAAAATTATAAAAATATTTTATATTGTATCTAAACTTTTATTTAACTAAATATTTGTTTTAAAAATAATTTTAATATCAATTTTGTTATATTTTATAAAATGTATAGTAAACCTAAATTTCTTGACAAATAAATATAAAAATTTTAAATATTTTTATTATAACAATTTTTAGTGAAAAAAACATTGCTTATTTTATAGTTTTAATTTTAATTATTTAGATTAATTTGTTAACTCACAATAATTTTTTTTTATTTTTAATTTTTAACTTTTAGTTCCAAAACCTAGATATTCAATGAAAACATTTTCATATATTAAAAGACGTTCAGTTGTTCTTGAATGCATTCTATGTTCTCGAAATAATATAAAAGGACAGGAAGCTGTTTATCATATTAAAAAATGTTGTAAAAAAAATTCTAAACTAAATTCATTAAATCCATCATTTGTTTTATTCAATTCTATTCTTTACATACTTGGCATAACTGAAAAAATTAACAAAGTAATTAAGTTAAGCAATATATTTGAGCCATATGTCATTAACCAAATCTGGGCTGTTTATGAAATAATATATAAAGAGCGCAACAATGTTCACATGAATATAAATGAGTACTTTTTTGTTGATAGATATATTGAATATATTCTCAAAAAATTTATTGATAAACAAAGATGTCAAATTAAAATAATACCTGGAATGACTATGAAAAATTTCAATCAAGCTTTTGGAAAAAGAGATTGGAGTTATGTCATTGATGATTATGATATTGATGTATTAATACATGAAAAAGATAATGGATTTTAACTTACTTTCATATAATACTCAAAGTCCTAAACATTTTTAATCTTAATTTTTTATAATTTGTTTATTTTCAAATTACTTATATTTTTTTTTAAAAATTACTATTATAATAATACATTAAATTTTTATTTGTTCTAAATTCCATTTTAAATTTAATTTGTATAATATTAATAAAAATTTTGATTTTAAAAATTGTTTAATTGATTAAACTTTATATGAAAA